TTTAAAGCAAACATAGTGCATAATTTTGTAACCATTCGGAAAAAAATAAATTATTCTAAATATGTAAAAATCACTTAAGTGGTTATATACAGTTAGAAGGCCGAAAAAGTGCATTTTAAAAAAAATCTGTATATGTAGTTTGTATTTTATATTCAACCCTCAAAATGACAACAAGGACAAATTGTTAAAAATAATACTTCATTCAAAAAAACACAAATAAAAAGAACATTAGAAGGATGTCGTGATTTCTGCAAACATTTTACTGCATCGCGTATTTTTCTTAGAAATGCTTTTCCAAGAATTAATTTTTACAGGATGCATCTCTTTTGGTATACAATTTTTTAATTAAATAATTTCTTTCAACATGGAAAATCTGTATTTGAAATAAAATATCAAAGTCAAGTCTATCCAACAGGACGTTATAGAATAGTAAATATAGGAAAATTGCTCTTTCATAAGGAGACCGGAAAATCTTTGAAGAAAAGCTCACAAGCAAGTTTTTAAACACATAGTTAATTAATTTCAATTATTAAACAGTTTCATAAATATTTAAATTTTTGCTTAAATATTGCGATAAATTGGATTAATATGAGTGCACCATAAGTATAAATAGAATCAGTGTCACTAGTATTATTCCTCAGGGTTACCAAAGCAATTGCAGCCACGTTGATTTATTTAAAAATTTCAAAATTAATTTGCATGGAGTTATCTAGATTTATTAGCTTATATATAAAAAGTGTAAATATTAAGTGACGGTTGCATGCCACTCGAGGTCGTCACCATCAAAAATTAGTATATAAACCAACATTCACGACATCTTCATCACAGTTAAACTTTAGAACTCATCTCAGGTTCACGGAATAATCAAATTATCAAAATGAAAATGGTGAGATAATTGAAACATGAAACGATTTATTGGATTTTGGATTATGAACAACCATGGAATGGGTGAAGTGTGAAGTTGTGAAATTAGAGTGATTGGATTTATTTACTTGTTTTAATACTTTTATGCATAAATCAAGGATTTGGATATCTTGACTAATTGTGAAAGTGAAATTTAGTTTTTTCATATAATTTTGGCACAGTGTGTTGATGAATTTCAATAAAATGATTAATCAACTGATTATTTCTAGATCATTGTCCTCGCCGCCCTCGTGGCCCTTGTCGCTTCAGCCCCCCAACACGGCAAGGACGCCACCGTAACCCGTTACGAATTCGACAATTTGGGAACAGATGGCTACAAATTCGCAGTTGACACCAGTGATGGAACCAGTCGTCAAGAACAAGCTGAACTTAAGAATGTTGGAACCGAAAACGAAGCCCTCAGTGTCCGTGGATCATACACCTTTGTAGGAGATGATGGCCAACAATACACCGTCAACTTCGTCGCCGATGAGAACGGTTACCGTGCCGAAGGTGCTCATTTGCCCCAAGCCTAAGACAACTAATCAATCGTACCAAACTGATGCATTTAGTTAATTTTAATCAAGACATTAGAGACTATTGAAAAAGTGACCTTATAGATTTTATTACTGTTATAAGTAACATCTTTAAGTACAAAAATAAAGTGCCATTAGATAATAAAATAAAAAAAATATTTTATGAAGAATAAGTAATTTTTCGTTATTCTTAATATTATGATGTAAATAATGTTAAGCAATAATAAATACAATTGCAATTAAATATGTCTTTATAAAATTATTTATAAAAAAATTGCTCAATTTTATTTCAGTGTAGTGAAAGTCACGAACGTGACTCATCTTCGTCATTTATTACAATGTGTGTTCATGTGTACATTACCTATCAGACACATTGTCTGGTAACATGTAGTACATTTTTTTTAAAAAATAGTTTATAATAGTTATTAATGACTTAAGCACGTTTGTATAAGCTCAAATTTAAAAAAAACTACCACAAAGTATGAGTTTTACAAACCACAAAAAAAAATTCTGTTTATCCCTTATTTTAGTTAAAACATTCAGCCACTTATTCGATTTATATACCAATACAAAAAAAATAAAAAAAAATTTAAAAAATATTAAAAAAAAGAAAATAAAAAAAAATACATGACGTTCGAAGTATTATGATATGATTCTTGTTTCATATCCAATTTCTTTGTCTATATTTGCATACTTTTTTTCGCAAAGATGTGATCAATTCCTGAAGAACCATTCCTATGTCTCATTATTTATATTAAGTTCCGAACACCTAACAATTGAAGTTTTATGCTCAAAATTATTCTCTTCTACATCCATTATCAATCACATCATCATACGAATTTTTTTCAACTAGTTCATAAAATATCACATCTGAAATACCTTTTATAATTGGAATAGTTATATAGAATAAATCAAACATTTTCATCAAGTTTTAATGGTCGACTATAATTCTGAGAATGTTAATGATATTTTTAAGTATAAAGATATAGAATGAATTGAAGCGAAATCGAAACTACACATAATTAGGAATCTACTGAAATTAATAATTAACTCAATATTAATAGTTTCAAATTAGTTTGTAAATGCAACTAGCTGTAAGTGGAATTCTGTCTTAAGGCAATTAAAGCATCGTGCTTTGAGGCAAATTGCTGGAACTTCCCGCAATTCAAAATTCGAGTAATTAAAAATAATCAATAATAATAATCAATAAAAGTTGATCAATGATTTGAAACTTTTAACAGAATTTTGAACCATATCAAATTATTGAATCTTAAATCATTTATTTTGAAATATTTTGGGAATTCTGAACTTTTGTTCAAAGCAATCGAACTGCTTTAACTGCATAAAGACGAAATATTGAAGCGCGTAAGCGCCGCGTCGCCGTCCAACGCGTAAACATTGGTACGGAACCCATAGGAATGTAAACGAAATTTATACTTATTGTTAAAATCTCTATAAAATATCTAATTATTTGATGTGCATATGCCTAATGTTTATTTTGGACCGCCAAATGGCTCATTTTTTTTACTTTTTCCTCCATATCTCCGAAGTCGTTACACCTGCCTTTCCAAAAATTTGAACAGTTCTTCACTCAGTTAATACAAATGTCTATTGAATTATTCAAATCGGACGCTCCGTTCTCTTAAAAACTGAGTTACCGTTTTCGGCACTTTTTGCCCCGTATCTTCGGAACGGCTATACGTGCCTCTGCCAAAAACTAATTAGCACGTCTCCTTATCAATACAAATCGAATGTCTTTTGATTTATTTAAATTGCTTCATCCGTGTTCCCGAAATAGTCGACGAAAATTTGTATCCGCACACACATACATCCATTTTTTCTAAGGTATGCCAAAATATTCAGAAACCTCTAAAACGTCAAGATATATGAAAATTTTCATTTTCGATTTTTTTGCGATTACTATAACTTACCCTACGGGAAGTTAAAAATGTAAGAGCAATGGAAAAATTAATGATATGTCATTTTATATGAAGCATTACATATTGCTGATATTTTAATGATATGCCATGAATAAAGCACTATGCATTGCTAACATTTAGATCAGAGTTTCTATGATAATTTACGTCTCATATAATTTCTTTATCACTATATATTTATAACAAGTCAATTTACAAGTCAAGATGAACAATATGAAATATTTTACCCCGATTATATAACAGTAGGCATTTCATAATTTATTTAAATTACCCAAATGTTAATAAATTCGCTTTCGTTACCCAGATCTAATTTTTGTGTCAGTGGTTACTCATGTCAAGTATAAATGTTAAGTATCCAGAGACGATGGATTCGATTGATGACGCCATTGACAAAGATTTGTATATAAATGGCAGATTTGTTGGATATTCATCACAGTTTATCTTTACAACTCATCTCCGATACACGGAAAAAAACCTAATATCAAAATGAAAATGGTAAGAAGAAGTTTCGTTATTGTTTGAGTACTTTCTAAATGGAATTAGTTGATTATAAGAATAATTATTTGAACAAAACAATTTTTCTAATAAAAACGAGAATTAACTCTATTAGATCAATGTGTAGATATTCAATGGACAATAATTTGGTGTAAAGAATTTCACCACCACAAGTCTCGCAGCACTTAAATTTTTCGAATTTGCTTCACTGTCAAATGGTTGTTTTAGAAGTATATTGTTTTCCATAATGATTTCAATAAAAACATTTATTTCCAGATCATTGTCCTCGCCGCCCTCGTGGCCCTCGTCGCTTCAGCCCCCCAACATGGCAAAGACGCCACCGTAACCCGTTACGAATTCGACAATTTGGGAACAGATGGATACAAATTCGCAGTTGACACCAGTGATGGAACCAGTCGCCAAGAACAAGCTGAACTTAAGAATGCTGGAACCGAAAATGAAGCCCTCAGTGTCCGTGGATCATACACCTTTGTAGGAGATGATGGTCAACATTACACCGTCAACTTTGTCGCCGATGAGAACGGTTACCGTGCCGAAGGTGCTCATTTACCAAGAGCTTAAGAAAATACGAACTGCTGATCTATTTGAACTTAGACAATCCAATTTCAAATAAAGACTTTATTATAGAAACATGCTCATTACTTTTATGAGTAATCGAGTTATTGTAAATATTATTTCAATGTGCCATAAAAAATATAGTATACTATAAAATTATACATTTGTTTCATTTTGCAATTTGCTGGATATAATTTATTATTATAATTATAACCACAATGGTCATATTCACCAACGTGGATTCATTGTTGGAACGTAAAAATGATTTAGAGAAATTTAGAAGGAATAGTTATAAAATGAAGATTCTGGAAAAAATATTGAATAATTTTATATGAAAAAAATTATGAATGATAAATATCAAAGCCGACGTAAAATATTGTCAATTTTTTATAACAACTTTTTATAAAGATAATTAAACATTCATGATGTTTTTATTTTTTATATAAAAAGGGTTTATAATAATTATATTTATTATTAAATATAAAATTTCGGTGTGGCGGACATAACTCATAGGTAGCATGATCAAAGTATGTAAAAATTGAAGATAAAGAAGATGGATTCAGAAGAAAGAAAAGTCGGTAAAATTGATATAAAAGTAAAAGGAAGTAAATAATGTCTTGATTTAGAATTTGAAATGTTGAATTAAATTACTTAATTGAATTGACTTAATTAGAATTTGTATTGTTGATTTAAAATTGCATAGAAAGTTAAGTAAGAAAATGAATTTAAAAAAAAATAATGAATAAAAAATGTGAAATCTTGTAGGTGGCTAAATGCTCTATGTAAGCGAGGCCAATAAAAAAAATAAAATAAAAAAAAAATCGGTTTCTTAATAAACGCCCAATTTTTAAACCAGGTCGTTTTACTGATTGCCCTACGATATTTATAATTGATTGGATACATTAAATGTTCCTGGAGTAATGAATAAAACTAAAATTTTGTAAAGGACAACATAAACTTATAACTTTTCCGTATAGAGATCAAATAAATAAATTAATAAATAATTAATTTAAAAAATGATAATTTGTGTATTGAATGTCCTATTACCTATTTATACAAGTTGATGATTCTGTTTTAAGGCAGTTTTTTTGTTTAAAGAACTGATGTTCCTTATTTAAATAGGCGCAGATACAAAAATAATAAAAAAATTATAAATATTTATATTAGAAATTTGCATAATAGTCAAATAATGTTTATTAATATGCAAAGATGAACCAGAAATGTCTTGAAAAATGTGCTATTGCAATTTTTCAATAAAATTTCACTAGATTGTAGAAGTTTCTCAATCATTTTGAGAAAATTTATATACAGACTAAAAATCGCAATCACTAAAATTGTACTATTAAAATAGAATATAAGGGACTATTAAAATAAAATATAAGGGCTAAAAGTTTCACAAAAAATTAATAATAAATATAAATGTGTATTTGAAAAAAGTGTCGAGCTAATTTTACTATGGAAAAAAATGAAAACTAAATAAAACTTTAGAAATTTAGATTTGAATACATATTAATCAAGGTTTTCAAAATAGTGCATCTTTGACAAATATATGAAAACTGATCGAATTTTATTGAGACTGGTTTATATAAATAAATAATAACTATCTTAAGCTGTTATCAAAATAATAAAAATAAATTTTAAGTTGCATCAAGAATTAGTAATTATTTCTACACCAGTATCTTTTTTATAAAATGTCTAGTCGGTTAAAAAACGATCCCTCCAAATATCCAGTCAATGTTGAAATGAAACATTGGTTGAAGGACATATTTTTGTTTGGACCATTCTCTTATAAATCACTGATCAATCTGTATGTAAACACAAATTTAAAATTTATTCCAACAATTATATACAACTTTAGTGATTATTATTAACTTCCCGTAGGGTAAGTTATTGTAATGGGCCGAAAATCGGAATTGAAAATTTTTACATTTCTCGACGTTTTGAAGGTTTCTGAACGTTTTGGCATACCTCAGAAAAAATGGATGTGTGTGTGTGTGTGTGTGTGTGTATGTGTGTGTGTGTGTGTATGTGTGTGTGTGTGTGTATGTATGTGTGGATACAAATTTCCAGTCACGTTTTAGGGCGCACGGATCAACCGATTTGAATGGTTCAAAAAACATTCGATTCCTATTGATAGGGAAAAGAGCTGATTAGTTTTTGGCAAAGGCAGGTCCAGCCGTTTCGGAGATACGGAGCAAAGAGTGCGGAAAATAGAAATCGAATTTTTGAGAGAACGGAGTGTCCGATTTGAATGATCTAAAAAACATTCAATTAGTAATGATTGGGAAAAGTGTTTATTAGTTTTTGGCAAAGGCAGGCCCAGCCATTTCGAAGATACGGAGCTAAATATGTAAAAAATGGCAGTTTTTGAGAGAACTAAGCGTCCGATTTGAATGATTCAAAAAACTTTCTGCTTGTCTTAACAAAATAATTGATTTTGGAAAAAAAAATTTTGTTCCATTTTTTTTTTTTTTTTTTTTAGTTTTTTGTTGAAACAAATAATTTCAACTTTGCAATTCAGTTTATATAATTCTTATAAATATTAGACAATATTTATAATAATCTATTTGAAAACATTCAGTATTCCTTGAACATTTCGTTACGGTACGGGAAGTTCCAGCAATTTGCCTTAAGGCACGATGCCACCCACCCCACTAGTTATTAATTATATGTGAAAGTTATTTTCAAATTAGTGCACATGATGAAAATTGTGGTTCTATTAGTTGTAATCTTAGCAATTAATTGGAATTTTGTTTTTGGAGAAGAGTTGGGTGAGCTGTAATATATTCACAAGCCATATTGTAATAAAAAAAGTTTTTGATGACCATGTTATAACAGATATAGATATATTTTAGTGTTCTTTGAATTTATGTAATATATAATTTAAACAATATAATTCAGTGTTAAATAATAGTTCTAGATATTTTGCATCCGGGTGAAAAAAAAAAAAAATTTTATCCAAAAAAATATTTTCTGTTCATGTACGATGTATCTTTTGCACTATTTGCAAACTATTTTTAATATTATTGAACTTAAGGATTTTTGGGTTCAAGTATTAATAAAAATTGAATATTCTACAAAAATTATAGTTTTGAAAATTATAAGTATTCAAAGCTTATACAAATTTGGTAGAGAAACAAAATTTGAAGTTTTTTTAATTTAATAAAAAATTATCATCCAAATTTCTTCATAAGCTTATTTGAATAAATAATTGGAAATTCTTGATACATTTATTTAAAAAAATCAATTTATTTCAAGATGCTACGTATCAAACAAACAATACAACAAAATTTATGAGTTTTTATTTTATGCATAGTAATTTTAATTTCAAAAACCAAAATCCACCCATAGCATACCATTATTTTAACCCACAAAGATATCAATCCAAATTCAATCTCAATTATGTAAAAATATTCGAATCTTAACGTGGCAGACTGATTATGTTGAAATATCAATAAAATTAAACTGGCGATAAAGACAACTTATGTTGAAAAATTGAATAATTTCGTTTTCGATTGAAGATCAACGAGTAAGTGGCCATGAACTGAAAAATGTTAATAATATACCTACTTGAATTCATGATTTTGGTGCGCGAATTAGAAATTAATTCTAATGGATTTATAAAGATTATAAAGATCAGGTTGATAAAAAATTCCATGTGCGATTTTATGTAATCGAAATAAAATAATTTTTAATAATGAATTCTGATTAATATTTTTTTATTCCAGCTCCGTATCTAAAGGTATGTTCCAGAAACGACAAAGACCTAGCCCAATGCATAAAACGTGCAATTGATGGGTTGAAACCTATTTTTGTAAATGGAGATCCTTCAAGGGAGGTCCCTTCCTTAGAACCTCTTGATGTAGGCGATTTGCTGATTGGAAATTTTGCAGGAGGTGCTGCCGTTGGTATAAAAGTATCTGCCACAAATATTTTGGCACGAGGTGCTTCTAACTTCGATATAACAAAAATAAGGTACATAGTAACAAAAATTTAAAAAATATCCTTGATCTGTTTAATCATGAATCGTATAGTAATCTATTTAGTTGCAACAATGAATTTGAACTAAAAATTATATAGACCTTAAGGTGATGACACAAGTCTAGTGTCAGTTTTCTAGTTTAGTTCCCAAATTTTGTACATCTATATAAAAAACTTTACTCTTTTTTTTAACAATTGTAAAACTTTATTGCAGTGCCGATTTCGAAACATTGACCTTCAATTTTGAGGTATTTCTACCACATATAGAAGCTAAAGGTAACTACAACATCGATGGCAACATTTTGCTCTTACCTATTCGAGGAAATGGACCATTTACCGCAAATTTCTGTAAGTTGTGAAAATTACCAATAATAAATATGTGAAATTTGGTTCAACTTAACCCTTTCCGCTCGTAAAACGCAGCATTAACACGTATTTTGACGCCGGAGTGGCGGCATTCGAGTGGAAAGGGTAAAAACTATTTCATTTATATTTTTTAGCAAATTCTACTGGAAAAGCTTTGTTAACTGGTAAAACATTTGTACGAGATGGTAAAAATATACTTAATGCTGATAAAATGAATATTAAAATAAAATTGGGAAAAGGTAATATAGATCTGAGGAATCTTTTTGGAGGCGACAAAACTTTAGGTATATTTCAGAAACGAAATTCGAAATCTTTTTATAATTATATATCATTTACTGTTATTTAAATTTTAGGTGACATCATCAACCAAACAATAAACTCCAACATTGAGATTTTGAGTACTGAAATTGTACCACTTATTGAAAAAGCTTTATCCAAATTGTTCATCAGAATTGCAAACCAAATTATAGACAGATATACATTTGAACAATTGTATCCTGAATAATAAGACTAAAATAATAAAAAAAATTAGATTAAGAATTGCATAATATAAATTCAAGAAACGTTATATATTTTTTATACCTACTATTTATAAATTATTTAAGAACTTTTGTTAATTGGGTGGATGATATAAATCAATTGTATATTTTGATATCACTAAAATATATTTAATGATGTTTAAACTTATCAAACACGTTTTTATTAAACATTTACCAATAAATTTCAAGATTTACAAGAAATAGCTTGTACCAGAACCTCGGATCAAAACTAACATGAGTTCGAGTTGATGATGGAAAGTAATAGATGGGCTACAGATTTTTATATTTGGATGCAAACAAAATATTATTTGAAAAAATTATTTACTAACTTATTTTAGCATTTATTTGCTTAAACATCCACTTATTCACTGATTAATACACTTATTAAATTATTTAGTTAAATTACTAACTTACTTGCAATTGTCATTCAATTTGTATGCAATGCAATTGAAATTAAAAATATTATTTTGATTTTTTTTATTTATTTACTAAAGTAATAATTTGCATAATAAACTACCTAATACTAAGTTATTTGTTTGATTAATTAAATAAATAAAATATTAAATATTCAATAAATTCTAATGCTGTACCACTAGTAAAAGTACCAATACCAACTCTTGAGTATTATTCTTGGAATATTATTAATTACTAATTACAAACCATATTTATAAATTTACACAAAACAAGTTAATTTAAAATGTTTCATTTCTGAAAATTTCAGCAAATTTAAACATTAAAAATATTATCAATTAATTGGACAGTAACATTAATAAGTATGTCACAATAACTAGGTTTAGCAAACTTGCACTTTTAATTGTTTAGAAACAATAAATGCTGACTAAAACAAATATTTCCTACAATATGTCGTTCAATTAATAATTGCAGTATGAATTAATATTTTAAACTATATAAATTCAAAACAGTGATTAAAAATTAATTTTTTTATCATGGGAAATAATTATTTGTGGTTCATATTTTTATTTAACGTTCTGCAAGCAATCAATGGAAAATTAACTGCAATACGTGAGTGATTATTTACAATTTTAATACTTTGTTAAATAATTCTTTTTTTTTATTTTAATTAAAACTTTCTACTAAACTAGTTATACAGTTTTATGTCGATTGAGTAGTAAAAGATTTAATGCAGTTGTAAAATAAAATGTTTTGCACTTACTGAGAGTAATTGAAACTCGTAAATATGGAAAAATAAATCTACTTTTTCACATTTATTGATGGATCATATAACTAAACCAAATAATATTTTTTTATAAATATTTTTTTTATCATTCAAGATTATAATTCTAGTCAGAAGTAAAGATATATTAAGGTTTGTAATTATTTGAATAAGAAAAGAATGTATGACCATTGTCAGGAGAATATTTATTCATAGAATAATTTTCAGTAAATAACGAAGAATTTTTTGAATAAACACTTGAGAATAATATATTTTCAATGTCACATAATGTCGCGAATTACCTTGTATATACATAGATTTTTATGAAAAATAATTATCATATATTAGTGCTTCAAATAGTTTGATAATTTTTAATTTTGTTGATTTTTAGTTGTGTTTTTCATATAATAGAAAAACAAAAAAAAATTAGACATACTCAGAATGAGTAGAATATATGAAATTTTAGTAATGTAAAAAAGTAGTTCATGAAATATAGTTTTTTATGTAAAAATTTACATTCAGAAAATTATTCAATAATTATAAACATTGTTATTAGAAGTATATATTCACAAAAACCATAAATCTTAAATAGCAATTGTTTTTCGAAGTAAAAAAGATAATAATGCAAAATTCTATGTGCAAGCCTAGAAAAGACCAAATATTTTCTTGAGCAATATCTATTTCAAAATTTTTAGAATTGTTTTAGTATCACTCGAATAAAGTTTAAGAATAATATGTATTGTTTATATTTTTTAGTTATATTATTATACTCATTCTATATTTAAATAAATGACAAATATTTTTTAATATACAAAAGAAGTTTGCCAAAGTTTGTTTTCAAGCAACTTTTAATTTGATTATAAATTTCTTTCAATAGATTTTTTTTGGCTTCTCGTGTAAAATACAGTATTGAAAAATATTTTAAATTATTTAGTATATTATTTTTTCCCCAGCTTCTTATATGAGAGTATGTCATCGTTCAGACCCAAATCTCTCAAATTGTGTCCGCCAATCGGTGGAAGAATTGAGACCAAAATTGAGAGAAGGTTTACCAGAATTAAATTTACCATCTTTGGACCCACTTTACATACCAAAACTGACCATGAACAACATTGAAGGAGCTCTCAGTTTGAATTCAGAATTTAGGAATATTACAGTGAGAGGTCCTAGCAATTTTGAGATCGCCAGAGTCGAGTAAGTGGATAGAAAAAGTTGTTTAATATAACAAGTAATCAGTTTGATTTGTTATATATCATATTTCTTTTACTCTTTGGCAGTGTAGACCCAGAAAAATTACGGATACAACTTGACTTAAAATTTCCACGACTGGATTTGGAAGCAAGATATTTCCTTAACGGTAGAATCTTAATTCTGCCAATACAAGGCTCAGGACCATGCACTGGAAATTATTGTAAGCACTAAAATGTCTTAATAAAAATATACATAATTTGTGCAAATGGTTAATTACAAAAATCTTAATTTTGGAAGCCAACATTACTGCAAATGCTGTCATGCAAGCTGAGAAAGTAAAAATTAATGGTGAGGATTATTTGAAGGTGAAAGATATTAAAATCGATTTTGATATTGGTGGAGCAAAGATTGATTTGAAGGAATTGTTTGGTGGAGATGCAAAAATGGGTAAGTAATGTAATAAATTATTTGTTTGAGGATAATTCTAATGCTCTATGCAAAAAAATGCAAACTTTTCATAGCAACCACTTTTCATAGGCCTCTAATATTTTAGCATGGCCAGTTTGAACATAAAATCTACCATTATGCAAAGTTTCATTAAAATCCGATACAAGCTACGCGCAGGTTTTCCTTGTAAGATTGCATATAAATAATTCAGTTTTCTTGGTTTTAACTGAGCATTATTCCTACATTTTGAAAATTATTATTATAAATTATATTCTGGAAATAAATATTTAAATTACATTTTTTTAATAACAATACTTAAAGCTTTACCTAATTTTTTATATAAAGTCAAAAGCAAAAGCATCAACTTTGTTACCAGTTGGAATTGAATATGATGATGTAGAGTATAATTTGTTTCTGGAATTCTAGGAAGTTGCTCTTAAGTTTTACAATATTACTTGAAAAATTGTACTTAATATAGTACATTCTATTTCACCAGGTGAAGCAATGAATCACTATCTAAATGAGAATTGGCGTTCAGTTGCAAGTGAATTTAGACCAGCCTTGCAAAAGGCAATTACTGGTCTAGTAAGAGGTGTCGCCGAAAGAGTATTTTCAGCTTTTCCTTATGATATGTTACTGCCAAAGTAAATGTTCAATTTTCATGATAAAAATTGTAGAAATAGTATTTATTTACAAATATAGATTATTATAAATAAAAGTTCATCTGTAGTTATAGTTTAATCGGTAATAAATAAAGTATTGGCAAATATTAATCTTTTACTTCCTATTTTTTTCTTTTTGGTTTGATTGACACTCAGAAATATATATATACATTGCCTATTAAATTAGAAAATAAAAAAAAAAATAAAAATAAAAACACCCCTTGAAGCGCTAGGCCGTCGGCGATCGCCGACACCGCCGGCGCCTAGCGCCGCTAATGTACATAGGTTATATGGTCTATTGTGATGCAAATTCGCAGCCCCGTTTTTTTTAGAATATAACCGAGTGGTTTATCGTTCTCTGATAAATGACCTTCTTTTAATTTTAATTGTATCTTGAATATAAAGTTGATGAAATTAAATATGCTCCAATATATTTAAGATTTATCCATAATTCAGTAAGTGCTAACTCTTATTATTATTTTTTTTTATTAGATTACTGTTTTTGATCATCAAAATCACCGGCATGTTGTGCCATTTACAACATCATCGATTATGGAAGTAACAACAAATATCTTTAAATTACATTGCTTAATAAATAGTTAGCACACATCTTTTCTTCTATGTGCTATTGATTATCGCTTATTGTTATGATATGTTCGACCCTATTTGTATTTCTTTATGGAATGAAACTGCAAGACATCGTATTATAAGTTGGTGCAGGTGTTTCGAAAGCGCCACCTTACGCAAGAGTCGCCATAAAAATACAAAACAGGCCCGAAGACAGGCATTCAATTTGCAATTATCGGATATTACACAATTTTTGAATATATGCATAAATATCTCTATATATATATATATATATATATATATATATATATATATATATATATATATGATACGAAGAAAACTGCCAATGCGTCGAAATTAAAATATTTTGTTACAAACGTTTTGAGATAAGATGTGTCTCATCATACAACAGACCAAGAGAAAAACTGAAACTAAAGCACAATTAATGCAACTAATCTATTTGATTGTAGGAACACAAAAAAGGTGAATTAAAAAAACACATTGTAAAATAGTAATTCCTTAAAATTGATGTTCTTGAAAAATGAGATTAACACGAGAAACTATGTAGACGATATGGTGAACACCAATCGAATAAATAAAAATTGTAACAACAAAACATTTTTCTAGATACTTGATTTAAATAAATACAAAGTTTTTTTTACCTTATAAGCCTTACCTATAAAAAAATATTACCTAGCAGAAAAGAAGCAGAAATGTATTTAGAATCACTAAACAATCTTTCTAAGTAGTATTACACCTGGTAAAGACATTGTACACGATTTCATGCTCAATGATCACCAGCAGCAACAAAACGCTGCTAATGCGTTTTTTTTATAAATCTTCAAATTTCCACATCATAGTAATTTACTACATTTGCTCCAATATTGAGAATTTGACAAATGACGCATATTATTATGGAATAAAGCACAGAACAGAACGGGCGTCGGTGCCCGTGAGGCGCAAATTGCAGCTGCCGCAATTTGAAAAAATAGCGGAAACTTTCACTAGTCCCGGTGAGCGAGCGCGCGAAATGGAAAAAAGAAGAAAGGTACCTACAGAGACTACAACGTCATCGGAATCCCGTTCTATATACTAAAGGTTCTCAAACTATACGATTGTAACTAAATACTCTTTAGACACAGAAGAAAGATTGGTCAGAAATATGTACCTAATATATTTTTTTAGTTTTTATTCTATTTTCTTCTGCAATCTATGTATATTAAATGTTAATTAAATTAAAGTATAATAGTTAATTATATTATATTAGGTCTTCAGTTATTTTTCTTTTAAGTCTGGTTAGCTGGCCTTCCAGGTAAACTTGACTTGCTAATTGGTTAGGATGGACGTCTTATTTGCTCTAGAATTGCAGGTATGACTGTGTCTTTGTGAATGACCCATGTTGGCATATATTATTTTAATTGCAATCACTGATATAAGAAGATCTTCAAATTTTACATACTTATATATTTATAGGTCATATATCTGCTACGAATGAAACACTCGTGAACTATATATTTTTGTAGTACCTTATGTTACTTATATTTAGCTATTGAAATATGTTCAACTGTTACTACATTCCTAAAATGGTAATAAACTTACTAAATATTTAAAAAAATAAATGCAATAATATATCTATATGTATCTTAAAAGAATAAAGTTTCAAGAGCTGCTTATATAGAGTATGTCCGCTTATATATTTTTACTTTGATTTATGGCTTACTATGAGAGATTTATTTATTCGTGTGTAATGTAATTTAGAAATTGAGAAAATTTGTAAATTTATGTAATTACATGGTCAGGTTTTAAGCAGTTAGGCTGAAGTAAAATTATTAAAAATGATAGTTGATATATTTTTTAATTTAATTTATTTATTTAATTAATAATTTTGAATGAGAGAATTGATATGAAAATTAATTTTTAAGTTATTTTAAAGAAAGATTTAATAAAAATAACAAATTTTATAAAAAATGTGTTTTCTGCAATAGTTAAATAAACATCACGATTTTTTTTTTCAATCAGAAATTATTCTCTTATTGATAGTCCTAAATTGTTTCAAAATCTTTAGGATTAGTTGCTCCATTTTTTTTGTAGACAGGAAAATTGCATTTATTGAAAATGGCATCTAAATATAAATTTCAAAATCTATTAAAAATAACTAATTATTATTTTTATGGATTTTTGATTAAAAGTTTGAAAATCGTTGCTCCAGAAGAGAGGAGGCGGCACCGGCGGTAGTCACGCAAGATCGCATTGCAAGATCAAATTCTGGCATATGTCAAGATAATAATCAGAGAACTAGCACTCTTTGAATAAAACTGATCATTCATGTAGAAGATTATAATAAATAGGCAATTTTAATATAATTTTCCACAAACATTCAAAATAAGGCAAGAATTACAAACATTCTAAATAAAGCAAGACTATTGTAAATCCACATCAACTCATTTCTATGAAAACGTTCTTTACTTTACCAATGATCTTTGAGCAAATTACAATACAATTTTATAAATAATTTGCAATAAATTACGGTTCTTTCCCCTAAACTGGTCAAAAACCTGAAACATTAATTTATGTATCTATTCCCATAGTTAATTATATTTCTACTTAAATTTTTATCCCAGTGCACTTTGTAAAATATTAATGAACATCATCATAAAATTCTCGTGTCGGCTTTATTGCCAATATTTTTATATATTTTATAATAAAACAACTTTATATCAGCGCGGTACTTTCTTTTGACATAAACCGTATAATAAGTAATCAATCGGGTTTTCTTCGCAACAGCTTTTTGATTATTTATTTCTAAAACAAAATATGAACATAAAATATTTTATGGTAATAAAATATTAAATATAAGATAATTTTTCTATCAGGTTTATGATAAAATTATTACCTGATTAATTATTAAAATAGTAATAATTTATAATATAATAATAATAAATTCAAATGCTTCTGAATTTGAGAATAGCACGTTGTATTATTAGTATTTTTATTCCCATCCTACGATTTATTTATAAAAATAAATGTGTCTTTTTCTATAATTGAAAAATGTTATTCTTTTCCGAAGACAAATGAAAGTGAACGTTATTATCCGTCATTATAAGTAAGTGGATCTCTTGGTATAATTTGTGTACAAACAGTTGCACAAATGCATATGCAATCAAAGGTGTATATCCCAGAACGTATAATTATATTGTGTCATTTATTTACTCACAATAATTATAGAATTATTACAACAAACTTGAATCGGTTTCCTGGCAAAAGTTCAGTGACATGGAATTGGAATAATTTGTTCTGATTGTGAGCAACAATTACAAATTAATAAATAATTCATAAAATGTTGAGAAATGTGCTGGAATTATATTCAGTTAATGTAGAATATGGTATGTGATTAATAAATGCTTCCTAAATTATACATACAGTATTGAATGCATTTTTTACATAAAATATACAGACAATATAAATTTCGAATAATTAAAATAAATTAATTTTTTTTTTCAATCGATTGAAATTAAGTATACTTGATTTTTTTAAATATTAAAATTTTGAGATTGTGAATTTATGATCTTTTCTAATCTTCCAGAAGAAGAAGTTGATGTCTATGCCAGAAACTTTGATTTGCTAATTATATGGTTTTTTGGACGTGTAAAGTAATTCTGAATCATTGGATACCAAATATCAAGATGTTTGTATGAGATTATCTGGGTCAATTAATAATCAACCAATTGTCGATATTTTTCTCAAAAATTTCTGAACCATTTCGAAAATTTAAGAGCATATTTAATTTTTGAAAATAAATTTTGATGAAGCATTCTATAATTATAGAGTGATAACTATGTAAGAGCTTCACAAATATCCTAAATTTTTATGATTTTGCGAGTGTTTTAAAATTGAAGTTTGGAATACTGGTTCTGATCAAATGTTGCTAGATCTTAATTTTATAATTTGCCTTAAGGAAAGTGCCACCTACTGTAAGTTTGTTCCAATCTCCATGAAAATTCCATTCTTACTGACTATTCTAACCTCTAGAAGCTCTTCTAGTGTAAAATAGCACAGTAATATTATTCAACCTAATTTTATTCAGAAATCTAATATAACACTTTTATTCAAAATAAATTGTAGTTTTACCTATATAGTTTTTGGTGAAATGTAATTGATCAGCAACTTTATTCGTTTTCTTCCACTACTACTACTATATATAAAGAATTCGAAGACAACCTGAAGCATAAATTCGTAATATCCAAAATCATTGCATTTTCTTCCAAAATCATTAGCCAATTTGTTTCTGGATCATGATCATAGCAGGAAGAAGGAATAACCAAATTTTGGATTTATATTTATAAAATTGAGAGAATGACCATAGGTAGAAGTTTAATATGTCCCAGTTCCTTGAATTTTATGATAGTTTTATCTTCATAGTTTCTGGTTGATCAAAACTCAAATTTTACCACCTGTACTATTTATAAATTGTTCTAACACTGCCAAGAGCATAAAATCAGAATTTACAAAATCTTTGCAGATTCTTCCAAAATCATGAGCCGCCATTTGTTTCTGGATCATGGTCATAGCAGGAAATAGGAAGAAATGACCAAATTTAGGATTCACATTTAGGACAATGAGAGAATAGTAGAAGTTTCATTTGTCCTAGTTACTTGTACGTTTTGATGAAAGAGCTATTGGAATTACAAAATAATGAATGGCCAATTTTGTTTGGTTTTGTCTTTCTCCATTTGATTTTTATGATAGTTTATATGTATGGTTGATCAAAAACTGAAATTTTCACCACCTGTACTATCTATAAACTGATCTAACACTGCCAGGAACATAAAATGGGATTATCCAAAATCTTTGCAGTTTCTTCCAAAATTACAGATCTGTTTGGGTTTGCTTTCAGTCATACCAGGAAATAGAATCAATAGATTCAGGAAGATGAGTAAATGTCTAAAATTGTAAGCCTAATATGATAGGTTTATCTTCATCGTACGTAATGTCTGGTTGATCAAAAGCTCAAATTTTCTCGACCTGTTCTATCTATAAATTTATGTAACACTGCCAGGAGCATATAATGAGAATATCCAAAATCTTCGCAGTTTCTTCCAAAATTGCAGACATGTTTGGGTTTGCTTTCAGACATAGCAGGAAATAGATTGGATAATTATTCAGGAAGTTCAGTAAATGTCTAAAAGTGGAACTTTAATATGTCCTACCTCCTAAACCATTATTTTTAAGATAGGGCTGCTGGAATTACAAAATAATGCATTTAATTGAAGCATAATTGGAAAAAATAATCGCCAATTTCGTTCACATTCCAGTTGCCGTTCCAGAGCGGACGTGGACGGTTAGAAAGCGCTCAAACTTCACGCTGATTGGTCTCGGCGGGAAATACAAAACAAATCGCAGATGCGTTCCTCAGCAGGAGTACGAGATACTACCGCAAACCAATAATTCCGCATCGCAGTTCTTATCCGATACTCAACTAGACAACAACACGAATTCATAAATAAATTCATGATAAAAACAATAACAGAAAATTTCACCGGTCAGATTACATCTTTAACTGATTATAACATAACGACGGAATCATCATCATAATCTTGGAAGACTTTCGTTTTCTATATTGGAACTCTCGCCAGTGGGATAGATAATAAATCGGAATTTATTGGAATTTTTTACATAATTTTTTAATCAGTGATATACTGGGACAAGAAGCTTGGTGAAAAGTGTATATTATATTAAGGATTATGAAATTGTATGTGGCACTATGTCTTGCATTTCTGCAAGTTTTAGGAACCACCGGGGAAATGGTCATCGAGAATCGTATGCCTCTACTAAAATCAAAACGTAAGTAGAAAAAAATATATAAAATACACACACACACACACACACACACACACATATATATATATATATATATAAATACTTATAAATAAAAAAAAATAACTACTAATTCCAAACCGACAACCAACTATTGTTATAGCTGTATGTACAAATTTCAAAATAAGAATTGTGAAGCTTCAAAATTTGTCGTAAAAATATCAAATATAATTTGTTAATAACACACTAATTTGTTAGGATGATAATATAAAAATACAGATACATCTAATAAATTATTATCATTACCTTTGATGAAACTTGTTATAGTTGGTTTCAGAACTTCTATATAGTAGTTCATTTTATAAAAAAATGATATTTTCGGTAATGATTAATCAGTAATTAGTCAATAATGTAAAAACTTATAATAGTGAGTAATTTCATTATGTATTTATTTTATACGTGTTTTATTTATAACTTATATTATTTATACTTGTGTATAAATGATATAAGGTTTCTGTATACTGACAATGTTGCTATTAAAAGTGGCTATTAAAATATTTAAAAATGAAAAAAATGACAATTTTTTTTTTTATATTATTATATTATATTAAATATTTATGAAGAAAAAACACGAATTACTAGAAAATATCTATTATTATGTTACCCGGTCAACATTATTGACACAACCTTTAAAATTTTGTTTTCGTTTTTACACCGCTACGTGCTCATTTTTCAAGTTTTAAATAGTTCAGTTTAAATTTATCCTACTAATTAAATTTGTTAAAATTAACCATAAGACTTTAATTTACAGCTGACTGGCTTGGAGTATGCCAAATGTCCAATCCAAACAAGGACGACTGTTTCAAAAATCTTTTTGAAGGAATGTTCCCAGCGTTGTCGAGAGGTAAAATAAATAGAATAAATTATAAAAAATATTTGAAAAAAATATGAAAAAATATTTAGAACAAATTTTATCGTAATTACAATAATTATTTTTACATTAAGCCCGAATCATACGACGCTTGTTCTCTGGGCTGGATCGCATGCTTGATTTTGTCGTGCTAGATTTCATGATAGTTTTTCAAGCCGTTCAAATCACACGATGCGAGAAAGCTTGCTTGCTCTGAGCGATATTTGTTTTAGCTTGCTAGGTTTTTAAATGTGATAAACCACATGTCAAAAAAATGCTTCCCTATTGGTTTGAACAAACAAATCCATCCACAAAAAAGGCGAACGTTCAAAGTCTGAATCACACGAGGCTTGTTTTGTTGCTTTTTTGTACTGCTAGCTGGCATGCTGGTTATCAAGTAGGCAAAATGCAATCATGGAAAAGTTAGAACGTGTGCTATTTTTGTAGATGGATTTGTTCGTTCGAACCAATAGGGAGGAAGTATTTGGTCATGTTATTTATAATATTTGATAATCTAGCAAGCTAAAACAAATATCACTCAAAAATCTAGCAAGCCAAAACAAATCACACTTAAAAATTAAGCATGCTAAAACAAAACATACTCAAAAATCAAGTATTCAATGTAGCCAGTCCAGAAAACAAATGCCGCGTGATTCGGGCTTCATTCATAGGTCTATGATCCATCCACAAAAATAGCGCACATTCTGATATCAAAATCTCGCATGCTGGAAACAAATGGAGATCGATTACCCATCATTTAGCCTACTTGATAACGAGCATGCCAGCCAGCCAACCAAAAAAGCAACGAAACAAGCGTCGTGTGTTTCGGGCTTTACACAAATATTTTCGAGCATATCTAGCACAATTACTTAACCCATTATGTCATGAATGTAAATCCCGAACAAATAATTCGACTTACGTGATTATATTTGGTAATTGAAGACTTTAATATATTCATGTTATGTATTCAATGATCAAAACAAAAGTAAAAAATTGTTTGTAATGTTATTAATCTAGTTTTTTAACTTCCCGTAGGGTAAGTTATAGTAATCGCAAAAAAATCGAAAATGAAAATTTTTATATATCTTTACGTTTCAGAGGTTTCTGAATATTTTGGCATACCTTAGAAAAAATGGATGTATGTGTGTGTGTGTGTGTGTGTGTGTGTGTGTGTGTGTGTGTGTGTGGGTGTGTGTGTGTGTGTGCGTGTGTGTATGTATGTGCGGATACAAATTTTCGTCGACGATTTCGGGAACACCGATCAACCGATTTGAATAATTCAAAAAACATTCGATTCGTATTGATAAGGAGACGTGCTGATTAGTTTTTGGCGAAAGCAGGTCCAGCCGTTCCAAAGATACGGGGCAAAAAGTGCCGAAAACGGTAACTCAGTTTTTAAGAGAACGGAGCGTCCGATTTTAATAATTCAAAAAACATTTTACTTGTATTGACAAGGTGAAGAACCGATCAAATTTTCATAAAGGCAGGTTTAGCGGTTTCGGAGATCTAATGAAAAAAATAAAAAAAAATGCCATTTGGCGGTCATAATTGATCATTAGACATATGCACATCAAATTATCAGATATTTTATAGAGATTTTAACAATAAGTATAATTTTGGTTTACAGTCCTATGGGTTCCGTACCAATGTTTACGCGTTAGACGTCGACGCGGCGCTTATGCGGTTTGATATTTCGTCTTTATGCAGTTAAAGCAGTACGATTGCTTTGAAAAAAGTTTAGATCTTTCAAAATATGTCAAAAAAAGAAAACATTTTTTTTTCAAAAAAAAAAATTAAAAAAAATTAAAATTTTTTTTTCAAAAAAATAAATTAAAAAAAATTAAAATTTTTTTTTTCAAAAAAAAGTAATTTTTTGTCTAATTGTTTGTCAAAAATCTTATTTTTTCGAAGTAATTTTTTTTCAAAAATGTTAATCGTTTTTAAAAAAATAATTTTTGGTACGGGAAGTTCCAGCAATTTGCCTTAAGGCACGATGCCTTAATTGCCTTAAGACAGAATTCCACTTACAGCTAGTTAGTGTTACGATCATGTAACTCGTTATAATAACCCACATAGTAATTCGAAAATTCAATGATGAAAACAACTTTTATAATGATAATAAATAATTAGTCATTAGTATTTGTAAAGAATAATGATGTTAAACATGGTATTTTCAATTTTTTGCTACAACTACACATGTGATTTAATTATTTTTGAGAATTGTTGGCAATGTTCTGCTAACTTTTTTTAAAAGACCAAATAAAAACTAGGTTTTAAAAATTTCATAACAGATTATACCAAATTTTAATCAATATTTATAATTAACACTTTTTGTACAATTTTTTAAAATGTTCGTTTAGTGCTCTATTGCAATGATAAATTTAAATAAATACGCCGATTTTTTTTTTAATTTTAATAATTCCGATAAAATGAAGTTCAACTGGTTTGCATACTGCAAATCCAAGTTTTTTTTTAATTTTGGTGAAGAACGATTCAGAATGACTAGAAACGTTCAGAAAACGTGAATAGTAAATTGTATCTTATGCAAAGACAAATCTTTTATGAACATTTAATAAAATTATTTTTTGATTTTTGTTTAATAAAATGTAGTTGTGTGTTTTTTTGTATAAAAAATGATCTGGATGTGAAAAGATTAGTGAATTAGTAATTTATGCAAAAACTAAAGTCGTGTTATTTGGATTATATATTCTGGAATTAAGGCAATGAATAATGCATTGGAATAATTATTAGAAATCAAAATTATCTAGTTCTCCATATTAGCAATTATTTGTAAATTTTTACAGCCTCATAACAAGTTAGATTATTATTTAATATTTTTTAGTATTGTTTCATGTCAAAACAAACAAAAATATCTGTATCATTCTGGAAGATTTATTATCTTCATTGAAAATAATTAAATTGAGGAATTTTTAGTAGTAGTCTGTTGACTATTCTAATAGTTTTTAGTTTTGGAAATTGCATGAGTTAAATAGTAAAAACTGAAGGTGAAAGATTGTAACTAACTAAAATCACCTAGAATTGGGCTAAATTTAGAAAAAAAAATATTCAATTTAGATTCCAGAATTATAGCATTAAGTAAGACGTTAGCTTTCTTGAATACAAAATTTGATAGGATTTTCGTATTGGAAATGTTCCTGTAATATTGGTTATAGAATTCCATACATCATTCTCTTAACTTTATGACAAGAGTAGGCAGTACTATCCTAGGGCAAGTCCGTAGATTCGGTTAAACACCAACTCAATTAAGAAAATAATATTTTGAGAGATTTTACATTACCATTTCACACCGCAGTGTTCAAAAATGTGCTATTTTCAATTGGAAACATGTTTTGTTGAAACAAATAAAATACCTATATGTGCTTTCTTGTCAATTTAACATTTTTTTTTAACAAATTTGAGTCAAAATTTTGGTACCAGTTTTCCATTCAAATTGAAGATCGATAGGGTATAAAATGATATATAACTTTGCAATAATTGGTTGGATCAATATATGGCAATAAATGAACATATTGCAAAAAATATTTAGTTTGTGAACCTTGAACAACATCTAATCGAATTTAAAACATCATTATACCTAGCAAACATCAGTAATATTTTTTTTAATATATGTTGAATGGCAATCAGAACTATCATATTCTATAAGCCATTGAGCTATAATTTTGATCCCCAATGTGGCGTGGTAGAAGATTTGCAGTAAGATACTTCTACTTTCTCAAATGAGATCTTCAGGAGCAACAAAAATTAACAAATGTTTATTCTATCCCAGGTATTCCAGAAATAGGTGTAGCTAGTTTCGAGCCTCTGCACATCGACGGAGTGATGGTGTCAAGGGGATCAGGCGGCCTGGCCCTATCAGGCGGCTTCCGTGACCTGCAGGTCGGCGGTCCCAGCAATGCCACCGTACAAAGAGCAAGGTGAATTTGCCGCTACGTTTACTTTCTCTTGCTGCTAGAATGCGATTTATCTGATATTCATGCAGTCGTCTATCTAATAAATATATCGTGCATGCACACAACATGCAGTTGCATTGGATGCACAGGAAAGCACGTCATAAATACTCTCGCTCGGGGAACGAACCGATAAATTGTAATGAGTTGATTTATTACTTCGGATAGAAATCACATAATGCGATATTTTTTATAACTACAACATTGTTATTGGTTAGGAGACTCCCGTGTGCTTGTATTTTTATATAAGATTATTCTAAAATTGCAAGTACTAGAGGCAGAAATTGCTTTTCTTACACGTTTTGGACCATTTTTTATAAGCATTATCTATTTGCTTACGCAGATTCAATACAAGATATAATCAAAATGTTCAACGCGAACCAGATCAAAAAATCAATCAATTTTCAATAAATCCACAGAAAAAAGATTTTTTTTAACATTTATTGACTAGAAGAAGGAGTGAATAAGTTAAAAAACTTTATTTAGTAATATATTGTTCATTTTGTTTATTGACTTTTTGTTATCTTTTAAGCAGCATCATTTTACCACTTTCATATAAGTTCTGATTTTTATCATCAAAAAACTGAATCAGGTACAAATTGACCCCAACATAATCATTGAATTGTTTATTATTCAAAAAGTTTTGTGAACAGTAATCAGAAGCTTCAGAACAGAAGGTCAGGACAGTAGGGTGGATATGGCAAACTATGTCCCAATCAAGCACTAATAATTTTTCTTCAGTGGCCAAAGATACGTGATATGTCAATAATGGAACAAATCATAAATTTTTCAATTCAGGCTGCTTTTTTTTCATTTACATTGTGTAATTTTATTAGTTGTTCAACGTAGATATCAGAATTGATCATTCGGTTGGTAATAACAGTTCAAAGTAGACAATTCCTGTTTAATCATCTATTGAACGACGAGAGCGGTGTCTATCTTGGAATGTAAAATCACCAAAACGAAATTTAGCAAACTAATTTTGACACTGCCGTTTTATTAGGGCTTTATTATCATAAACAGCTCATAACTTTTTGGGAGCTTAAGATGTCTCTTTACCTTTGCAGAAATGAAAAAACAATTTTTTTTTATTATATTTTTAACAGCAATCAGAACCTTACGTCCTATGAGCTGTTGGGCTGACACTTATCCTTACTTCGTATTTTTAAATGGTAACCCAACAACATTCTATACTAAATATTGACAAAAGTCATGTTAGTGTGAAGTCAGGCGTATTTCTCAGGTTGTCAGATAGAATACCTAACCTGGAAACTGCACAAATATAAAAAACAATCTTAGATAACAGTTTCTGACACGGCTTCATAACGAAGGAGTGACGTTGCAGTTTATGTGTAAAACGCCTGAATGAACAGCAAATACATAAAAATTGACAGTATTCAGTCTAATTAAGTTGGACCGTAACATGGCCTTGCCTGAACATTTTTTTGTTATGCAACAAAATCGGTCCCTCATTTCCCAACCTAATATTTCTGATCAACCCTGATTAAAATCGGTTTCTTTTCCAGCATTGACTTTGTTACAAGGCAAATGAACTTCGACCTAGCAATTCCCAAATTGAAAATCGATGCCAAGTACAGCCTAAAAGGCAACATCCTGCTCCTTCCAGTGGTGGGCAATGGTGATGCCAGGTTGACCCTACGAGATGTCATGACCAGTGTCAGTACAAATTTCAGTTTGGTTGAGAGCGAACCTGGTAGACAGGTCCTCAACATCGACACAATGAAAGTTACTTTCATTGTTGGAGGAATGCGTATACATCTTACGAATTTGTTCAATGGAAACGAAATTCTAGGTAATTGTAATAGTAATATGATAAATCTCACCAATTTCCATGAGCAAATTAACAAAATAAGTTAGTTGTTGGAATTGGTTTAAGCCAAAATATTTTGTACTTATAGTGCAACATGTATGGTGTCAATATGAATATAAATTTTGTTGTTCCTATAAACGTTATTATAAAAGTTATCACATGAAGGTTCAAATTACAAGAGAACCGACGTTTATCAATAACAGCAATTTGCAAATAAAATAGTGATTTAATTTTGACAAATATACCAAGTGTCTATATATTGGGACTATGTAGTTCTATTTTAAATTTTAGTTAAACAAGAATTATTTCATTTATTTTTTCCAGGTGCAAGTTTGAATCTGTTTTTGAACCAAAACGCCATGGAAGTTATCTCCGAACTAAGAAGTGATCTTGAAAGTGGTTTAGCTGATATTTTCAAAGCCTTATGGAACAACGTTTTCTCAAGACTTCCTTTAGATTTATGGACAATTCCTTGAACTTTTAAAACACACATTATCTGTGATCAAAATAATAATCTCTAAGTTAAAAAGCATTTCATTCCAAATAACCATCACGAAAAAAATGATATCGCTCTTAAATAAGTTTCTTATAAGTATTATTTTTTATGTTATTTTAGTTTGTAATTTTTATTAAGGTATTTGTAAAATTAATGCACTTTTAACTATAGTTTAATGAAGTTATTATGTGAATGAGAGAATTGTGATAACTATTATTGTTGTTGTATGTTTGATATATTTTATAGATTTATAATGTTGTATCTTTAAACAGAAAATTTACAAAATAAATTGTATATAAAAAAAGTTTAATTTCACTAGAAAATTTTATTTAGTATTTTTAACAAAGGACGATAAAATATTTTCAAAAGATTTTTGACACAGTATTTAAAACTTGTACTTTATACAGGACAAATTTAAATAAATACAGTTCAAATTTAGTGTATTGAATTTGAGACAAAAATCAAATGCATCAAAATTTGTACATTTTGAGTTTTTTAAAGAAAGGAACGTCTGATTTTACTTATATACACGATGACATGCACCACTAGTTATTATTTTTTTATATTAATTTTTGAAATTCTAATGTATAATTTGAACAACATTTGAGAAATTTAATTACAAAGTCAACTTTTTTGATAAATATTGTCGATGTCAGTATGTACGAATAATTACCAAAAATAATCCAAATCAATAAATTGCTAATATTTCAATTTTTGACAAAATTTGAAAAGTTTTAATTGTACAATTTGGTATCAAATAGAGTGAAAACTTGCTCTATAAAATAGATATTTTTAAAAGTTTAAAAGAATGAACTCTCGGAATCTATAATACTTCAAAGAACATGTTGATCTGCGTGAATTAAATTAATCAAAAATTAACACCTGTTTCTTTGAACTTCTAAATTTATATCTTAAAATGTTTTGCAACATTTTTGTTGTCGAACCCAAAGTAAGATTTGTGTACAAGAAATATTACTATAACCAATAATATTAATTTGAGTGTGTAATATTGATTATTAATTATAAATGAAAACATAAATTGATAATTTGACTAAAATAATTTAAAACTGACTTTTTAAAACGCTTTTCTTCAATAACTGTGATAAATGCATATACGTAATTGCATATTTAAAAGAGTGTAATCTTCATAATTTCAAAGCATAATTTTTTTCTATTATTCAAATTGACACATTACAAGTTGTAATTTACAACAATTATCAAATACAATGTACAGAAATTTTTATTTTTATTATTTATGAGCAAAGTATCTAATTATCCATGAATAATTTATAAGACATACAAGGAAGACAATAGCTACTAATGATCAGTAACATTGATTATCCATGTTAACTTTCTATCATTATGAGAAGAAAATATAATAACATTTGTAGTGCTGGTAAACAAATTGTCTATATTAAATAAATGCATACATTAAACAATACAAATTTCAGCATAATTTAGAAAAATGAACGTTGAAGAAACGGGCATACTGAAAATGAAACAAAACTAATAATTAAGCTAGCATATTATATGGTATTTTTTGACTTTCATCTTGAATATAATAATATTTTCACAAATCCTATTTTCATCAATAATAGTAATACTAATCCTTACCATTAAATAATGATTCAAAGGTAAGAGGTATAAATTATAGTTTATATTTCTCAAGAAGTTATTTATGGTACACTTGGAAGTTCCTATTTTTGATCCTCAATATTTCGAGTTTCAAAAGTTGTGTATGATAAAGAACATTTTTTTCATAATATTTTTACTATTCCATTTATTCTAAAAAAATTTAATAATAAATACGCCCGAATGGATACAATAGTACAAAAATGAAATGTTTCACGATTGATCATCAGGAGCATTAAAAATAACAAAAACCAATATTATCAACAAATATATATTCAGAGTTCCAATCTGTAGTTATTTGGTTTTCTCAAATTATAGAAATTTCTCTAGATTTTTTTTGATTTATCAAAAATTAATGATTGGTTTTTGTTTTTGACGTCATCACCACGTACATTTTTTTTCTTGGATTTTTGAATAGCAATCAGAATTTAACAGATTTATAATATCGTCGAATTTTATAGGGCAACTTCATAAGGCAACTTACCGAGGGAAAAAATCGCATAAGAAAAAAAGATATTTATATTTCTTTTCATCTTTTTAAAGCCTTCTGAACTATTTGGCATACTTTAGCTAAAATGCATGTATGTGTGTTTGTGGATGTGTAAGTATGCGCGGATACAATTTTTTGTTGACGATTTCAAAAACACGGATCAACTGATTAGAATGATTCAAAAAATATTCGATTACTACCGATAGAGAGACGTGCTGATTAGTTTTTGGCCAAAGTTTCCAAATACCAAAAATGCAAAAAGTGCCTAAAATTGTATAACTCAGTATTTCAAAATATTGAACTTAATTTCACGATGCAATGCACTACAAATTTTTTCTATTAAATTTTGAAATTCAAATGATTAATTTGAAACAGTAATGCCTCGAAAAATCATTTTGAAATTTTAACTAGTTTCGATCCAAGAGTTGATCAGAAGGAGAGTTTTCTAAAGCATTTTATAAAACTATGACCAACATCTACTTTACCAGAAAATTTCCAAAACTTTTATATTTATTCAAATTCCACGTATATTTAAAACAATTTAAAAATTAGTTATTCAAATTTCACATACATTTGTTAATAAATTTCATAAAATTTTATCTAATTTCAATCTTCCTAGAAAATACTGAACATATGACTTGCAGAATTTCATATATTCTTGCGTGCAACAAGTATTACGAAAAACAAAGCGTGAATTTTTTAATGGAACGAGAAATTATATGGTGTAAATTTCTTCATATTTTTTTCTGAATATAATAAATCAAATTTTTTGGTACATTTCATCACTTAGAACACAATTACTTATGTGGTTTCTAGATACAACATTGCATAAATGTTAGACATATATAAATCCAGCAATGATAACACATTAAAAACTAACTGTTGCAATAAGGAAATCTTTGAATATTTTTAATTAGAAGAAGTATAATTTTATTTCAAGTGTGATTAATCTAAACATTGTAAATTGAAAAAATATATTTTTATCGCCATAAAAATTCAATAACATCCTTAAGTCGCCAGATATTCATAATCTTATTATTGTGTGCAATATTTTTGTCCTTGGAATTACAGAGTTCATTCAAGTTTTTTCTACAAAGCAAAATATTAAACAATGATAATAGATATGTTTGTCAGTTTTTATTTAACAATAATGTAACGCGTTTTATATCTGTCGGAGGAAAAATTATAAAACAACAATATCTAGCAATTTATTGACTTCTATAGGAATTTATTGCAATCAGTCAAAACGTCATTTGCGGCAACATTGGCATTTTTATAACAATATTTAGCTTCACTAACAATAAGAATAATACCGTAAAAAAAAATATTTAAATGTGTGCGCTCCGAAACAAGATTTATTACTACTATACTCGGTATTTGACTATGATCAGATCAGTAATGATATATGGTTCATTTATTTCAATAAAATAAAATATTAAAGAAGTTCGAGGCCTACAAAAAAAACTTCTGAAAAATAAATTCGAAAATATTAAGTAGCCAATTACTCTGCATAGCTTATTTCTACATAAACAACTTGTTGAAAACAAATTTTGACTCAGTTTTTAGTACCAAGAAGGAAGGATAAGATTTGCAGAATTAGCCCTCGAATCTCATTATGTAGTAATATTTCCTTTTATATGTTTAGTTTTAAACTCTCATATTAAAATTTCTAAGTCAAGAAGTCCTGAGACACAAAATTTGAGTTTAGAAGTAAAACGTCTAAAAGTTCATCCCAGACAAATTGTTTTCAAGCCCTGATGTAAAGTTTTTGAATACTTAATCATAATAATAAATTTTAGATTGAAAGTCTTGTAATTTTATTAGATACCTTAAAGTGTTTTTCAAAAGTAATTTCAATTTTGAAATTAATAAAATAACACCGATAAAATACATATTATATATGGATGCTTTTTCGATGTTGAATATGCAATTTACACTGTTTTAATATTTTAATCACGTTTCTTAGATTTTTGTATGAATCATTCATTCAGTGATTTTTTAAGTTCACGATAAAAAGAAATCATTGCGGTCCAATTTTTTCAAATTCATTCTAAAAACAACAAATGGGAATTTGCTTATACTGGTACTTTTTGCTAATATGAAAATTTCCAGAATCAACAAAAAATAAATTATAGATGATGATAATAAATTATATCTATTTTTTACAAATCTAGTTGTAAATCCACACACTTCAAAATGTACAAAATCAAAAATTCAAAAAAAAAATCTATTGTTAATATACTTAAAATTTAAAAGCAGATACTATGATAATCTTGAAGTTTGAACGCCTTAATTTTCATTCTAGATTCCTCAAACTATATAATCCCTTCTTTAAAATAAATAAATATATATTTGCATCAAAATCAATTTTTAACAAATCGTACGTAATCAAACAGTTAAAATAAATTTATATTAATAATTAATATAATTTATAAATAGATACTACAAAGGTATTGAAGTTTTAACTCCATTTTCCTAAAACCCCTCTCTCAAATTATTTTAGACTTAAATAGAAAACAAATAAAACTGTAGAATTAAAAATTTTATTTTATTTTTTAAAAATCTATCTAATCGATGTAATTGGTGTTTATATTTATAAACAAATATAATAAACTTCAAATATAACATTGCAATTTAAGCGAAAATAGACTATCAGGAAATTTGGATTTATCTTGAAAAAGTAATTTTAAAATGTAGAAAAATTTGAATTCCATAGAGACTATTTCAGGCCTATTTCATATATTTATACATCAAATTCCATTTTTACCTTTTTTAACCATCCTCATATAATCACTACATTACTCTTTAAAAAATAGGGTGCCAAACCCATCACTACTCTATTTTGCAAACAATAGGAAATAAAACCAATAAATAATAATTTATTACAATCGCACCATAAAAAGTGAGGTTGTGAATGAAACCATTAACACTCTTTTATAGATTAAATTATAATCTTTATAGATTTAATTATAATAATTAACTGCTTCATACCAATGATCAGTTGACAATTCATAACAGAAACATAATTGACGTCACGACCTTACAAGCAAACAATTATAATATAATCTTTGAAAAAACAATGTAGTTTTAAGTAATTTATAACCACCATCAAGAGAATTAACACTGCCATCAAGTTATTTTTGGCTTGTTTATAAGAACGATAATTAAATCTTTAATAAAATTACTAAAAAAATGCTTACTTAGATTCAAGACTTTATACTATAGAGCTATTGTTTTGTAAAAAATTAATGTAATGTCTAAAACACTGAAGAAGGATAAATCAAAACTGATATGTATGAAAACTGTGGTATTTATTATTTATTTGATATAGATGTAAGAAACTTATATAAACTGTGAATTCATCAATTTATGTATTTGGTAATATTTATTTATTTTTAAGTGAAAATAAGTAAAATGTATTTCATCTCATTATTTATTATCATTAATGTATTTTCATTATCATTATTATAAATGTATTTTTGGAATGAACTCGAAGACATAGTGAGAATTAGAAATACTGGATGTAAAGAAAAATTACAAAATGATTATAGAAAATGATTTAATATTTAGTTTTATCTATCTTCCAGATCAAACAAACTAGTACGAGTTATTGGAATAAATATTTAAATAGAAATTCACAAATATTTGTTAAGCAAATGTGATAATATATTTCACAACATCTAAATTTCTTCGACTTACATGTGAAGTCTGAGAAATATATTTTGAACTGAATTATTTATATTTTACTAGAAATTATCAAAAAAAAATATTCAGTTTAATCAGGATATTTGGATATTTTTTTAAAATAAACTAACACAAAAAAATCTCATTTAATACAATTTTTTATGGCGACATTATATTTTAAATTTTGTAAATAATGTTGTACGAGGATATGATTTTATATGAATATTTTTCAAATTATCAACATTTATTTAATTTAATATTGAATATTTTTATAGTTATTAATGTCAATTTATATATTCGTACGAGGATATGATTTTATATGTATATTTTTCAAATTATCAATATTTATTTAATTTAATATTGAATATTTTTATAGTTATTAATGTCAATTTATAAAATCACGTTCATGACAAAACTAATATTTTTACCAGAACTTCGATGTAGGAAGAGTAAATGTAATACAAGCAATTTTGTACTAAAACATATAATACCCATGAACAAATCATAAATTATATGATCTGTACTTTTTCAAGAAAATTAATATTTATTATGACATTGTCATATTATTATATATGTCCATCATATCATCCATGGCCTTCATAAAAATGATGAATCGCACTTATTTATCGGTAAATAAATTATTTTCGGTTTTTAAGTATGAATTACCGTATTAAATATGAAAATTATAAAAATATAATATCACTTACTTTGATCAGCTTTCCAGGGTATCAGTCTCAGTTTTCGCCAAAATACGTAAATAGTCAGAAAGTCACAACACTAACACATCACCTGAAATAAAAAAAATAATATCTTTTTAGGCTTTTATATATATATATATATATATATACACATATATATATGTTAATATATTAATAGTTAATGTATTAGAAACATAAAAATATTGTAATTCATAAATTTTCATACTTTTGGTACTTTAAAAAAATTACAGAACTAAAGCTTTAAATATAGAAAAAAACTTCATATTATTCTATCTACGTACAAATCCTATAATTTATAAAATCAAATAAATTTTCCAAATATTTTGTATAATAATTCTAAGTTCTAAAATATAAATCTGATCTGAAATCTTATAAAGATATTAGCAAAAAGTCAATGTTATATTTTTAAATATTAGGTTTGTAGATAAATAAACTAGATAAAAAAATAGAATATTAATTTTATGGAAACTGATAAAAGTAATAAATTTTATATATTATCAGTTGTTTCATATATAAATAATTATTAGTGCATTTTTATTATATTAGATAGTAATTGAATTCTACAAATATATGTATAATATAATATTCTATAAATGTATTTGTCGAAATGGATAAGCAAATATACATAGATAATCCTAGATTTTATGTTCCTAGATAAAAGAATTACATAATTGATCAATTTTCACTTTTCAATTTTCACTTTTCAATTTAAAAATGAATTATTTACAAATTTCACTAATTATTATTTATTTCTAAATTTTGTATAGTCTTAAATTCTATCAACTATATTCATAGAAATATATAATCAAGTATAACTTTTTTATTTTCAAAATAAACTTTGTAAGCTTTTCTTTCATACAGGTGTAAGAAAAAATTAAGATAAAATAAAAAAAAAACGAAAAAAGTAAAAAAATAAATAGATTTCACTCCATGGAGAAAATTCTTAGGCTTCACGCAATAAAAATGGATGAATAACATATAGTTCATGAATCTATTATTTATATATCATAAAATTATATTTTATATTATATTATAATTATAAATAAATATAATATAATAAAACTTAAATTATAAAATATTTTCAAATTCAAATTGAAGGCAGAAGTGTCCTAAAAATCGAGGACCTTTCACGACCCATTTTCGCTATCTCTTAACCATTAAAATTAAGCAAATCTCGAACACCTTATGCAATACAAGAAAATTAATCGACAAACCACAAACTTGGGGTATTTAAATTAACATTTACAAATAAATTGCCTTTTCGTAAATTAAGAAGTTGTTGTAAAAAAAATGTGACACCCCACCCGTTGCAGTGCCGAAGGTATAAAACTGAAAGTCCAGGGATACGACGCGACATTTGGCGCGTAAGTTAAAAAGAATTCGTTTCAAATACGAATAATAATAAAAACTAATATATAAATGCAAGGATTTTAATTAATTAGTGCAATTTAGTGTTTACTACTAGTGCAAAGTCAAAAGTGATTAATGTTTACCATTTCGTGATTTATTTGGTAATTATATTTTTAAAATGGTGAGCAAGATATCATATTTGTTAGCAATTCTGCTGGCATGTTTTCTAAGGGTACAAGGAGCAGATCTTCTTGAAAGGCGTAAGTTTTTATATTTAAAAAAAATATAACAAATAAAATATAAAATTTATATCTGTACTAGATTAGATTTTATTTGTCATACATTTGATACATTTGTCCTAATTGGTGACGAACATTGATTTCCAATAAAAATTTTTATTGGAATTGTAATTAAAAACCCAATATTTAATTTCCAACCCTTTAGATTAATAAAAAAAATAGCTAAATAATGTTGACAAATAATTACACTGTAATTTGTGTAAAAAATACGACTGACAATCTTATTATATATTTCAATCAAATTGAACTGTTTTTAGAAGAATAACAAAAAATATTAAGTTTTATTAAATATTGATGTTGTGGTATATTCAGATGTGTTACACTATAATAATTATATATGTATAATAATATTAATAATAATAAAAATATTCTATAATCTTCAACTAAAACAATAATTTTTTTAATGACCTGAATTCTGAAGAAAAAATTGGAAATTTATGTTCAGACAAAAATTTCATACTTACAGTACTTGCAATTTTTTTAGCATTTTTTTATATAATTATTTAAACCATAACCAAATCATAATTTTCATTGAAACTAAGGCCTAATGTAAGGTTTTCCATATAAAATTTTTATAAAATTAATATTAAGATAATAATATTTATAAAGAAAATTATATGTAAAAACAAGTCTATAAATCTTATTAAATATTGAGAACCAATAACAATGTTTTTAATAAAATTTAAAAAAAATAATAATTCGATACAGGGCGTCATAATCTTGAGCAATTGCTTTGTGAAAAATTCAAAAAATGTACTTCTGAATAATAAATTTTAAAAATTATTACATATATTGGCTTTTTTAAGAAAATAAAATAATTAAATGATATTTAACACAAATTATATCGAGGCATAAAATTGTCACAAAATATTGACTTAAATATACAAGTAATTGTGATCAATTTCTTTTAATGTGGATTTATTAATTAGCATAATTATTTTTTAAAAACTTCAATAGGAAAAATTATAGAACAAATACGTTAAGACTATTTAAATAAAATTCTGTAAATAGTTTTAAAGATCAAATTTTTAAAAATCGAATATAGAACTAATTTGCTTATAAATGAAGTACATTTAAAATATGTGCATTAAACATTGAATATTATTAAGAAATATATAATATATTTAAAGAAATTATTAATTAGTAATAATAAGATAAAATAATTAATAATAATAATAATAATACTGAGATAAAATAGAAAAGTTATCTACCAATAGTAACAAATTAATAGTGATAAATTTATAAATCAACAAATTAAAAAATTTATTATTTACTAGCAGTGATTTCTGTAAGGAGTGATTATTTATTTATTATTGTAAGGAGTGGTTTCCTTATGATATCAGTATCCATAATAAAAAAAATTGCGTCTCTAACAAAATTTATCCATACAAATTTGTAGGTCAATCCATCCATTAAAATAATTTTTTATCATTTATGTCCTGGTGTTATGTAACCGTCGTCTTCAACAAAAGGTTGCCAATACTGTGCAATAGTAAACACAGTGAAAGTGTTACATTAAACATATATACTTGCCGGGACGCGAGCACTCATATTGAGTTCTTGTGTTATGTCACTACTGCATAATATATACTATACTAGCTTGGGTTACTTGGGTTTACAAGTTATGTATATAGGTAAACTATCATCGGGTAATGACTTTATAAAATATCTCTTCGGAGATGAATGTGAATTTCTGAACGATTATTGGTGATTGATAGTAAGCAGTACCACCAGGTAGTAGTAAATTACCGAAGGAAGATCTACAGACGTGTGCGGATGTGCTTAGAGATTTAAATGTCAGCTCGTATATAACATAAAATATTTTTCTTACAATTGCATTGTTATAAAGCAACATTAGTATTATCACTAATTTATTCGAACACCCTGGCAAAGCAAGTATGTTCAACTCGCCTTAACCCAGAGTCATTTAATCAATTCGTGATGCCTATCAGTATTTTCCGATCTGAAATCTTCTAACAAATTATTATTCTCCACAATATTTAAACATCTTTTGCTATTTTCAGCTCTTTACATTAGTTGCTTCCAAACCAATATTTGTATTTGGATTTAATAATAATAAAATTAAGTTTTCAATATGAATGTAAAAAGAACTTACTATATCTATTTGCAAGCGTGACAAAATAAAATAATATTATGCACAATAGTGCAAATAAAAATAATGTGCTTAGCCAGGGTTCAAAATAGGCCTAATTTTTTTTTCTTGAGTAAGAACTATAAAGCTATGGCGTAGAACTATAAAGATATGGCGTAGAACTAAAAAAATATGTCGTAGAACAATAAAAATGCAGAAAAAGTACTATTAGAATTCCAAATATTTACCATTAGATTAAATTTATATAAATATTAACATTAATTTGAATGGAAATGCTTACTTAAAATCGAAAGTATAAGTCATGATATATTTGTATAAGTCAAGACACTAAAGTAAATGTAAATCGGATTGACTATATTTCGCATTCTATCAATTATAGACCAGATATAGTTTTTATTGATTAACTTTTTTCACATTACTTCCATACCACAAGAATTATGCAAGAGATTGTAAAATTTGTGGTATGCACCAAGTTCTATGGAGATCTCAAGGTCTTTATCGAACGTGATCTACTTTACACTCTTTCTGGGAAATAGATATTTGAAATAATCAAATATATATATATATATATATATATATATATATATATATATGTTAAAGAAGTTAGTTTTGATGTTGAGAAATATGAGTAAGTTCTTCAAGGGCATACATCAAATAAAAGGCAAAGTTTTAGAAGTTAATCTTTAATTTATCCAACATTACAAAAATTAAAGATTAACTTCTAAATCTTTGCCTTTTATTTGATGTATGCCCTTGAAGAACTTACTCATATATATATATATATATATATATATATATATATATATATATGTGTATATATATATATATATATTAATTTTAATTCTATATGTTTTCAAAAACGTTGTGCTAGTAAATTAATGAATAAGTGATAATGAAAATTTTTGTTCACAAAATTATTCAGGTTCATAAAATATAATACTTTTCTGGTTCATGCTCTTAAAAACAAGTATTGAAATATACAAAAGCACATAATTGCAATAAAATAAAAATAATCTATTTTTATATCACGTCTGCGGATTTTCAAATCTATTAGTAAAAAGACAATCCTAAAACATTTTTCTAATATTATGCCAGACTACTTTTGCATGTCTAAGAAAATACAAAATATTCGATAAATTTGTAAGATTATCTTTACCATTTTTGTCTTCAGTTTTATTTATTTTTTACCAAAGGGTTTGCAATACAAACTATTTTTAACATCATTGTGACGCTAATAAATTTGTGATAAGAATTTATGTTGTTGTCAGGATCGAGACTTCTAATAAAATTGATATCATGTTTTTCAATGATTTAAACTGCATGTAACAGGAATTGTCTGAAATAGAATGCATTAAATAATGCAATGACTTTTAACTTGAAGTATAAATAACTCCGTAAAAGATAGAAGAAACATAAAACTAAAAATGTTTAAAATTTTCATAATATATCAAAGGTTGATTTTAAATATATGAACATTTTGAAAAATAGACATATGAGCAGAAAAAATAGCTGAAATTTAGCAATAAATAGTAAGTAGTTTTTTTCACTGATTTATTGTCTTAGCATCAGGAACGATCCTAATTGCTAATAAGAAGCCGTTGCATCTTATTTTATTAAATAATAAAAAATCATGCCATGTTGTCGTATGTAAAAAATCGTTACTCATCATAATTCATTTTCTGTATACATAAAAAAATCTTTCACGGTTTTATAAAAAAAATATTTGCATAATTCTATTCATGAACACTCATACAGTTTAGCTGGCGGCAAAGTTACGAAAAATCTTCACTTTCTTCATATATATCGTACCATCGTTTACTATATGTGTCATAGTCACAAAACCCATTCAGGTTTTGAAGTCTATTCAGAATGACATATTGTGATATTATGACATCTAAAAAAGGCGACAAAGGTGTCACAATGTAAATAGTAAGGATTAGTAGTAACTTATAACAAAGTCTTCTGAACACATTTTTGGTTGATAGCAAGTTTTAAACCACTAAAATTTTGGAACCTAAAGAGCAAGCTTAAAATTTTAACTATCACGTTCAAATTTCAGAACAAATTATTGGACCAAAGACATGACAACCTCAGACCATAAAAAATAAATTCCAAAAGTATATGAGGGCTATGAGAGCAAAACATGACTCAATGTAAACTCCAGCCTCCCAACTCTGACTTTGGTGTTACCAAAGTAACATCAAAATTTTAACTTCATTCTTCAACAAAAAATGGGATACTGATTCTTCAATCAAATTGTATTAAATTTACGAACCCTGATCCTTTTCATATTTCGAAAATCTTGTACCAAAAATGTAATCAGCCAAAACATTAACAAATGAAAGAAATCGAGAACCTAAACCTAATAAGACTAAAATCATGGCCAACCATCCAAAACAAGTTTACAAGATCCAAGATTCGATTTTGTGCTAAATTCTCAATAATATTTCTTCAAAAGTAGCACACGGATTCTTTGTTCTATTTATGATACAAATTTTATCCAAGATGTTGAATCCCACCTCCAAAACAATGATATACGTCATTCGTGCATCTCTGAGTAATAAGAAATGTGAAAGTATATTTCTTAACATTCGGCATTCTTCAAATGTTGCATAATATAAATCAGGCAAAAGAATATCAATATTCTACATTTACAGAAATATGTAGAAGTATATTTACATAAAACTATAAAGGATATTTTTATTAATATTGCAGCAGAATAATTTATTGAATTTATTGAAATCTGGCCAACAAATACTTCTCTGATTCATTTTTTTTTTTCAATTTCAACTCCTCTTTCAAAAAGTAGATCAACTACTATTTACATATCCCAAACCGTGCCAAATGCACAATTAATAAAAAAATTATGAATTTAAATTTTAAATTACAATTTCTCGTGGCTTCTCATTTCATAAGACCATATTTAATTAAAATTATATCACAAAATATTACTCAACAACTGGTTTTGATCTTTATTTACAAGGACGTCCAAAGTATGTCAACGAATTAAGGAATGCATGTAAAACATATTAAAGACATAATTATTTTGTAAAAATGTTAAACCAGTAATAAACAACAAATGATGACAAACATAATAGGTTTTTAAACAACATTTATGTGAAAATAAATAACAACTGTCTAGTAACAAAGGCTATTATAGTTTTTAACCTATTTATGATCAAGGATTACAGCAATTGTGTAAGGAACTGAAGACTTGGAAAAAAGAATGAATAATAAATTAAAATATTAATAACAAAGAAAAACTTGAAAAGTAGGTAATAGAGGACTGGCATTGAGGTCATGGTATACCTATACGAGTTATGTAACTTAGTTTATAAACAATACTAAATATAGAAATATTACAAATCTCAGAAGTAAGTTTGCTTGGTGATGCTAATGTTTAATTGTGTTGTGATGAACTGCTTACTTTTGGTATTGAACATCGACTATTGTTTTATTAACAATCTCCTTGTTACAATTGCATTGTTATAAAGCAACATTTAGTATCATCACAAATTTATCCAAACAGCCTGGCAGGCAAAAGAAGTATGAACAACCCATCTTAGAAGATCTGAAGATCAGAAGTATGATCAACTGGTCTTAACCCAGAATTATCTAATCAACATCAATTCATGATACCTATCACTATTTTCTTATCCAAACTCTTTTTAAGGGGGTTGTTCTTTTTTTATTTTCTTTATTTATTTATATTATGAAAGATAAAAACCTTAGAATCATTTCAAAAAGAAATCATCTCAATATCTATTTTTTTGACGAAGTTATAGATATATATATATCTCTATATGTATGATCCTCTGAAAGCGTTTTTTTATCGCTCCGCGAGCTATTGTATGCCAGATTCCTCTTTTTCATTATAATACCTCATGCACATGACCTTTTTAATGTGTCAGCATCTTTGAACACCATTGTGTATTTAGTACATTAAATTAAATGGTGTATTCAGTACATTATATTAAGAACTTTAAATACGTTTTTCTCAAATTGACTTTTTTCAATGCGGTGCCACAAATTAAACAAAAACTACAAGTCGGATCGACTTGCATTTTTTTTAATTTGTTCACCACTGCAATACCGAGTCCCCCTACCTCAAACAACTTGATAACATTACGCAAAAAAAATTTGCGAAGCTTCTCGCCCCAAAAAAAGGCCTTTTTTGACACTTTTTTTTTAAATAGCTGCCATTTTTTTCCTTCTTGCTTTTTTTCTTTTATTTTGGTAGGGGGACTGGAAACAAACTTCTTCTTCAACGTAATTTCTTTTTTTTTTTGTTTCGGGCTATGCGCAACGGATTTATCTGTGGCACCGCAAAAGAGATCGATTTTGCAAGACCGACTTTGGCGCCCCCTGGTTAAAAAATGACGGCGCAAAAAGAAAAGAAGAAAATCACGTAATATTCTATGATTTTGTAATTTTTGTTTAAAAAAAACCGCATGTCGCTATGATAAATACATTTCGAGAAAAAACAAAAACAAATACCTTGCATTTTTTGTAACGAAAAAAGAACAACCCCCTTAACAAATAATAATTCCTCAAATCAGTTTTTATACCATTTTTTTCTATTTCCAGCTTCCTACATAGTTGCTTGCAACCGTTCCATACCCTCAGTAGAACTAAACTCCTGTCTAGTTGGAGCTTTCAACCATCTACAACCTTATTTAGTCAAAGGAATACCTGAATTAAATGTACCTGCCATAGAACCTTTGTATATCCACGAAATGATTATGGAAAATGGAGCTGGAGCTGTCCGAGTAAAAGCACGATTTTCTGACATCAACGTCAAAGGACCAGGAAACTTCTCGGTGCGCGAAGTTAGGTACCGATAAATGTAACAGAATAATAGATCCAGAATGTAGTGATTTATTTTATTTTGTAAATATCTATTTTTGTGTTATTCTCAGAGCTGATGTTAAAAATTGGCGCATTTCACTAGGATTGACCATTCCACGTGTGGAAGTCAGTGGCGTTTATGATGTGAATGGAAATATTTTGCTCTTCCCTGTCAGAAGTCGTGGGGAATTCTGGGCTGCTTTTTGTGAGTTCAAAATAAAAACTTGGCTCTATTCAGGAACAAATGTATAAAAATTTTTTGTAATATTTAGCTGATATCAACGCTGTCGCTAGGATACATGGCAAAGAAGTCGCTCGTGGAGGTGAAACTTTCATGAACGTTGGTAAATTAGTTCTTGACTTCACTGTGAAAGGTTCCAGATTTAAAATAAGAGATACAACTAATCAGGAAAATATCTTAGGTATGCTGAATTAATGTTTTATTACTATTGAAATAATTGTTCTTTGGAAGGAATTTTAAGAGTAAATCAAGAAGGCGAGAAAGAACATATTTTTATCCCAGTTTTATTTCCACTAGTTTGAGTGTCAATTTTAGCTATAACATGATATTTAGGTTGAATATTGTGTATAAATTATTTTAATTACCATATTAGAAATTATTTTTGTTTTTGTTTCTTGAACAGCAGTCAGAACTTCATAGTTCTATTAGCTGTTCTTATGGTACTTTACTCCTCAATAAAGTCGTTTTTTTAAGAAGGCGACTCAAAAATTGGCCTATTTTCTGCTGACATGTTTTATTATTTAGGTGAAGCTATAAACCAGTTCCTGAACCAAAATGGAGCCGAAATTATCAACGAAATGAGACCAGCAGCATCGCAAAGTATAGGTAAATTATTCAGAACATATCTGGACAATGCCTTCAGTAGGATACCCGTAAGATTGTGGCTTTTGGAGTAATAAATTAAGATTTTAATAATAACAAATTAAGGTATGAATATTTATTAGGCTTCGATAGGCTTCTAGTAACTGTCTAATGTTAATAAATTAGCGAAAATAATGGCCAAACAAATGTACAAAATATTGGAAATATTTGATAAATTTTCTTGAACAAGGTCGACTCCAAACGTCCGTTTTGGTGTATTTTAGTAACAAATTTATATATAAATGTAAATAATTCCTAGCTCCAAACAATTTTGTTTGGAGCTAGGATGTTCGGTCTATAACAAAATGAGACCTAAGAATAACTGAATCAGTGCAGAGATATTACATAATAATTAATTCAAAATTTGTTTTTAAGATAAATATCAAGGAAATGTTGGAGATTTAATAGTAACATTAAATCTCACAGAGATTGCTAAATACGCGGAATCAGAAAGAAGGATATTATGCAATCGTCTGCTAAAGGCAATTATTAAATCGTTTGTGCTAGAATTTACCACATAAAAATATTAAATGCCAATTGAGAAATTTTGTAATAGATTGTAGTGAAGTCGACAAATTGATCCACATCTCAGAATCACAATTTGGGATAATAGTATAACTAATATTTGGTGCTACACTTATAAATATAAATTTATGTCTCACTAAAAATCGGTAAAAAAATTAAACGCATCGACAATGTAAGAAAAAATTTCAAAATATATGTTATAAATGTAAATAATTGTGCTAATAAGATTCTACATAATTTTTATACTTCACGATCTGGTACAAAACTAGAAGCCTTATGAAAATGTGATGCCATATAACGAGCACTTACAAAAGTTGTGAAAATTAAGTTTAAAATAAATTTAATTAGATTCTAATACGAATATGAAACCTAATTTTCACAAAATCGTATAATGTTATGCTTACAACTACAATTTAGATTTATTGGTTTATAAATTTTTTGAAAAATATTTGTTTATAACAATTTATTGTTAGCATCATTTGTTGGTAAATTTTGCGTATCCTTAGTTACATTTACAATTATGTTAATGTTAAAAAAGTAAGGAAATTTGGTTTATATGAAGTTCATCCATTAGTTTTAAATATTCTAAAACATTTGGAATGGTATTTCAGTTGTTACGTACGTTAAAATTATTTTAGGAAAATGTATTTAATTAATATTCTGAATTAGTAAATTTTGTCAATATCGAATTTTATTATTAAATGTATTTTGTTTTAAATTATTTTCAAAGTTTTGGATCATACATATAACTTATACGACATGTTTTTATTTATTCTCATGATTTTAATTCATTAATTAAATGTAAAATCATTTTAGGAAATCTGTTACATACTCATATAGAATTTAAGAAATTAAATTATATTATAAATAAAAAATACAAATTTCTATTAAGATGCAAATGTAGTTCGCTGGCATGCAAAAATACTAAATATAATTTAATTAGGTTTAAGTTTTAATTTAATATATTAAGTGGTATATAAATGTTTATATATTGTATATTTTTGTAATAAAATTTCTTGATAAGAATTCGTATGATTTGACAAAGAAATGGATATACGGTGCACTATACAATTATATAAAAGCAAATAAAAAAAGTGTAAAGATTAATTAGAAAATGTATACGAATGATGTACATGTATACAAAGTCAACAAATAAACAATAAAAAGTTATAGCAAAAGTAAAATTACATAACAGAATCAACCAAATTTTTAATATAATTTGTCAAAATGCACCAAAATTATACAAGATGTTGAATAAATAAAGATACAAAAATTATAAATCAAATTCAACTAATATGCAGTAAACAAAAGAAAAACTGCAAAATACAAAAATGATAGAAACACTAAATTATTGTCATAAGTATTTAAGTTTCAGAATTGTATCAAGTACCACAGCATCAATATTGAGAAAAAGAACCCATGAAATGCATGGAACATAAGATTAAATTTAAAAAAAAATGAGTCAGAAATATATAACTGACATTTTAATATTTTCTCAATATCAGCTCCTATTCTTTTATATGATATCAACAAATTTTTTGGTAGTACTTAAAAATGTCTAAATTGAATGCCAATCCAATGATTGGATTTCGAGACATGATGGTGGTAATCTAATTTAATCAAACCACTTTCAATTAAATTTGTTCATGTTTTATAATGTATATATACATATATATATATATATATATATATATATATATATATATATATATTCAGCCACAACATTTCTGCGAATACATCTATTTTAACATTGTCGACTTAGATCCCAATTCAAAATTAAAAACTGTCCTGTTATCAGCTCATTAGTTGTTAATTATAGTTTTATGGCTAAGATAGCAAATATGAAAATTGAGATTTAGAGTACTACGACGTTGTCGGATATAGAATTTATGAAACTAGAATGAAGAACTTGAACCGCAAGTCATAATCTCTCGGAACGATAGAGTGGGAATAATTTTTATTGTTTGACCAGTAAAATCTGGATTACTTCTACATACATGTACAATATGATAATTGTCAAAGTTGCAGCAGATTTTATTTATAACTTATATTCGATATGGATACTTAGCAAGAGCTCCTGTGGTGATGCAACCATAGATTCTATTCGTGTCTCAGACTGCTTGATCTCAAGCAGTGGAGACTTTACTTAAAAACAAAAGTTCAAATATGTTTTAATCAAAAATTTTGTCTCCGAACATTGCTGTAACATATATATGACTACTAGAAATGGCTAAATAATATTCCCACAAAGACGAGGAATTACTAGTTTGCCTTCTAATAATGATCTAAGGCATCAGCTTATAGAACATTAACAATAGTTATAATTGAAGTTCAAAAATTTGAAAAGATGAACATAAATAAATAACTGAAGTCTAAGGTATGTAATATTATCAGTTTTTCAAAATATAATGTAAAATTTGTAACTAATGTGGGATCATAGTAGATGAAGCCGAACAATTAAAAAAGGACATGACATACTATTTATTTTTGTGAACAAATATTTTATAGTAAAATTTTTATAAAGATGGAAATTATAATTACAAATAATTGCATTTGGTATGTACTCATACAAATAGTCGCATAAGACTATTTGCGAATATTACGTGGCCATTTACTCTTGATCATTTACTATTAAAAAATATTTTCTGTAATTTGTTCCTAAGAAGTTTTATCAATGCTTGTACAATTGCATGGGATTTCTTATTTTCTCAAGAAACACAAATTGCGTTAATGATATTTGTTTTTATTAGTTATCAGCAGTTGTTGATGTTTAGCAAAGTTCAGAGATTATTTCTTTCAATTTTATAAAATTCCCGAATAAGTGAAAGTTTGGTAAACACAATAATAAGATAGTGATAAAACACAATATACTACATACAAAATAATAAAAAAAATAATAAAATTTAATTTTATACATCTAATATGTCTTTTCTTTATATGTCGATTTAATTCTGTTAGAGTATCAATGATTTTAGTTTAATATTTATTTACTATAATTTGTACGAAAAAAATTGAAATTCTGTAACAAATGCTGATTTAATACAAATCTGTACTTTTTAAAATTGATACTAGTCCAAAAACGAAACAGAAAACGGGTTATCAAAAACTTTGTTTTTATTAGCACTCAACAGATTATTCTTCAAGAATTAATTAATAAATTCTTTAATTCAATTAAAAATCATTTTAATATGATGAAACAGTTCACGAATAATTGAAAAATTGACAAAAACAACACGTAGCTTCGATAATTTTAATAAATAAACAAAGACGTATTTTAATCGAAACAAAGTTGCTAAATATAGAATTTTTTGAAATGCTAAATTTTTTCATACGTAAATAACGATTATAAAAATCAATTTTACGCAGTGCAAGATAATCCAGGAAAGAATACAATGTAAATCAATTAAAAATAACAGTATTTACAAAAAAAAATTAATTAAAATGCATGTTTGTTTTACACTAACTGCGCAATAGATATATCTGTAATTAAGTGAAAATAGTTATTGATTTAAGATAATTAAATATCTTTCGATTTGTCACCAGAAGTTGTAAGAAATTGTAAAGAATTTATGCATTAGATTAAGAATTAAAATTGAATCTTGAGTTGTAAACATTAATAGGAAAAAATTTGAATAGTAACAACATAATTTTGAATATAGGAATAGATTAGATATTAGATATTACAATTGAAAGTGTCTAATAAAAAATTGAGATTTAATGACTATAAATATTTATTTAGGTGTGTATATTCAGAGTAAAACCATGTGTTTTAAGAGTTGGCTTGGTACATCCTAATTTAGTATTTTAACCCAAAACGGCAACCCAGCGGTCAACCACTCTCTTTTAGACTATATGCATCCTGTATATCAGTTGGCACTTTCATAGACCAATGCCTAAAGTAGTCCTATTTTTTTCAAAATTTTTGGAAACTTTAATTTTACAATATCATATGTTAAAAATTCTTACTTGTCGAGTAATCCAGTAATCCTAACATTCCAGTAATCCGACGCCTTCTGGTTTTATATGGTACCAGATTATTGAAATTCTTTTGTTTATCAGATATGTATATTTAATAGTGTTTGCATATATATGTTGCAGCAATGCTCACGAAAAGAGATTTTCACTTGAGATTATATTTCATTCCAATAACCTCAAGTGGATATTTGATATAATACTGCTCGATACCAAGCTGCCTTTGGTAGGGATCAAAATAAGGACCAGTTCATGCTAGCCAACGTTTTTTAACAATCACACAATAACGTAATTAATTATTGCAATAATTATTTAATTCAGCGGTTTCTAACCTGTGGACCGCGCCCTTTCAGTCAGGCTAGATATGTCCCACTTTTCTAAATTAATCCAAAATTTTTGATTTGATGTAAAAAATTAAACAAAAAAATAGTTTAGTTTTTGCATATTCTTACATAATATTGTGAATTAATTTGTAATCTGATAATATCAGTTGAGTATTTATAAAATTAAATTGTTGCGAAACTTAAGAGGGGGGGAGGGGCGCAACAATATTTTTTATTAAATATAATTTATTATTAAGCAGGAGGGCGCGATGCAAAAAGATTGAAAACCACTGATTTGATTATTTTTTGTAATTTCTGAAATCTAGTATAATTTTAATTTTATTACTGGAATAAAAAATGAT